GATGACTTTTGAAGACAGGATAAGGTGAAAATGCAATGTCCTGTGAGCAAAAATAGTCCCTTGAAATGAGGGATCTTTTGGAATCCTGCTGGAAATTTTTATTTTTGTCTATTCAGTAGCTCACCTAGAGTCTGAACTTTCACATTAGGATTTATTCTTCTCTTTTCCCCAGATGCAGAGGATGATAAACAGCTTTAACACTCCCCGTGCTAGGCGTTCATTGTGTTCAGGGGTGAGTCTTGCAGGCTGTGGCTCCTGTGACTATGAGCACAGCTCAAGGACCAGTCTGGGCACTCAGCCACTGGGAATAGAGCTCAAGCCACCATGCAAACCTACCTGATGACCTCTAATAAAAACTCAGCTTCATCCACATGGACTTGAATGGCTCAGAGACCCTTAAATTCAACACGTCCAGGACAACCCATTATCCCTCTGTCTGGGGTCCCTAAGGTCACCCTTAAGTTTGACGAACTCACATGAACTAGAAGGACTCACAGGACTCACAAAAGCTGTTACCCTTGTGGTCATGATTTATTACAGCAAAAGTATGTAGATTAAAATCAGCAAAGGGGCAGAGACCTGAGCAGAGTCTCACAGAAAGCAAGCACAAACTTCCAGGTATCCTCTCTGAGTGGAGTCACAACAATATGTGACAATACAGCTGAAGTGTTGCCACAGAAGTTCACCTAAGACTTGGTGCTCAAGATTTTTATTGGGGGTCATCAGGTAGGTATGCAGTGCCTACCCATGTGACTGACCTCAGCTACTCAGACTCCAGCCCACAGGAGAAAAAGGCATTCACTGTAAATTACATTGTTAGGATAAATGTATCTAGTCACACCAGTACAGCATGGCCCAAGGCCTCAGGCATGCAAAAGCACTCTTAGCAAGCAGAATGTTCAAGGCTTAGGGGCCATTTTCCAGTCCTGAAGACAGACTTCTGCTGGGGGGTAACACACAGGCAACCCAGGTCTGCTGACTAAACTATTTCCTGCCCAATCCTCTACAACTGTTCTTCCATAAGCCCTATCATCCACCACTATCTGAGCCAGAAATCAACCTAGATTATTTTACTTAACCCTGACATCCAATCAGAGTCTGCCTGTAAGTCCATGCCTTCCTCTCAATCACTTCTTGCTTGGATTACTGCAACCTGGTCTCATCTCCATTTTGCTTTCTTTTTAGCAATGCTCCACATGGAAATTAGAATTGTGATAAATGCTATGATAGAAGGATATTTAATTAAGGCATTTGTAATAAATGCTTTGATAGAGGAATACTCACAATGCTATGACAAGGAGCGAGAGAGAACAACACTCTTGTGTCACAGTTCTGCTTGACCGAGCACATCACTAAGCCGTCAAGATAAATACAAAACTTCTTGAATCTAAGACCCTTTTTACCTGGCTCCTCTCTACCCCTCCCACTGGTCTCCCACACCCTTCACTTTGTTCATACAGAACAATTTGTAGTTTCCCTGAAAGTCACGTGGTTTCACATCTCTGACCTTGTATGTTTTGTTCCCTCTACCTGTACTGTTCACTCTTCAATACTTAGCTCAAGCATCCTCTCTGAGCTCCTATTCTGCAGGCTAAGATGCTGCTCCCGCTCTTCCCTGCCTCAGAGCCCTCCAAAACCTTTATATTGGAGCACTTACTCAGCTGCCTAAAGTGTCCCATTGGCTTACTGCCCCCAGTAGTTTGTTAGTTTCTATAACATGGAAGGTGACAATGACCAAGTTGGCACAGAGTTGTGACTACCTCCCCACAGAATCAGAAAAAGCATAAGATGTAAGAACCATTTAAGCTGATATTAAAGGAAAATAAAATTTCATCAATTTTTGATTTTACCATAACCAAAAGTTTACTGAAATACACCAAAACAGGAGATCACTGCTGTATACCTTACAAAATCAAATATGCTTACTTATCTTGGTAGATTAATAAGAATTACTGAACTTATGATAAGGCTTTCTGTGACATAACACAAATTCAGGAAGTTGTGTGAATCATTGGTGCTGCTTTCTTCTAAATGAACACTCTCTGTGAGCTTGGTGTTCTGTCCTGTAGGCTGGCACAACACTGTTGAATAACCTACAGAAAGATCCACTGTCTGAGTGTAACCACCAAATGGGTTCATTTTGCCCACTGCCTAGATAGAACCGATTTATCAAGACAGAGGAATTGCAACAGAGAAAGTTTAATTCACACAGAGCTGGCTGAACAGGAGACTGAAGTCTTATTGTTACTCAAATCAGCATCCCTGAAAATTTGGAGGTGAGGATTTTTCAAGGATGGTTTGGCGTGCAAGGGAATGGGTGCTGCTGATTGGTTGGGGGTGCAATCATAGGGGTGTGCAGAGTTTGCTTCTAGGTGGGGCCACAAGACCAGTTGGCAGGCCCAGGTGGAGCCTTTTGTATTTTCAGAAATACAAAACCCTGAAGACATCTCAAAAGACCAATCTTAGGTTTTACAATAGTGATGTTATCTGCAGGAGTAACTGGTGAAGTTGCAAATCTTGTGACCTCCAAAATAATGGTTGGCAATTGTTTAGGTCTACACCTTAGTAGAGTTCACACTACTCTCATCCACCAAAGCTGGTGTCTTTCATTTGCCTTACAAAGGTGGTTTTGTTTTTGGAAGGGCTGTTATCCCAAGCCCAGGAATGACTCAGGCAGTCTGGAGGTTCAAAGCAAGATGGGATTTGCTTAGATCAGATAGATCCCTTTCACTGTCATTGTCTTTTCACTGTTATAATCTTTACAAAGGTGATTTCATGGGCAAGGCTGAAAATGTGGTAATCTTGTGGCAACTAGGACATGTCATATCCATAAAGTAAGAATTTAAACTTTCACTAGCCATTTCTTTTCTTTTCCTCTTCCAAGGATGTGACATAACACAAATTCAGGAAGTTGTGTGAGTCATTAGTGTTGCTTTCTTCTAAATGAACACTCTTCTATGAGCTCAGTGTTCCATCCTGTAGGCTGGCACGACACTGCTGAATAACCTACACAACGATGTTGAATAATCTGCCATCAAGAATGAATGCAGTATGTACATGTACCCCCAAACCTAAAATGCAATAAAAAAAAAAAAAAAGAATGAATGCAGTAAATCTCTAGCCAAAGGCATGTTGATCCTTTCTCAAGCCCAGCCCTTCGAGACCTCTCAGGCAACACCCCTAGTGAGCAGCACGCAATAAGGCACTTGCAAGTTCATCAGATTCAGTAGAAAATGTGCTATAAAATGATGCCTGATGTTCAAATGCCTTCTTCACCGAGCATTAGCTGTGTGACACTGGGTAAGTTTACCTTTCTTTGCATCAGTTTCCTCATCTCTAAAGTGAGTATAATAGCTTCTGCATAGAGTTTTTGGGAAAAGTCAAGAAAATGGCTTATTAAGGCTTAGTAAGTGCCTGGTACAGCAACAGCTTGATGTATTTTTGATGGCTATTTTGAATTTTTAAAGTTTCTGTCCCTCACATAATAGTTTGCTACAGATGTGTAGAGTGAGGAAAGCTGGCATAGAATTTTGAGAGGCTATCAGCAGTCAGCATGTAAGTGGAGAGACAAAAGACGCTTTTTCATCAGCTCTGCTTTAATACAACACATATATCCCTAAAAACCATGCTTTGAGGAATTGTAGTAAAAATCACAGGACCTATGAAAAAATGGAGTTGGGTGCACAGCACTAAAAAATTTCATCAGTGACTCATTTAAAAGTAGAATCCTAATAAAAAAATGGTAGCAGAGTTTTATACATGTTAAGAAATGCATAAACAATACAAACATATTTTATCTTGAAAAAGACGAAGTAAGCTTGTGGAAGTAGGGTTTAGAAGGGTTGCAGCTTGTATGTTGTGAAGTGGTAGAAGGAGAGTTGTCTGAAATCCCAGGGGAACATTGTAACATCAGATAGGGATAAGTATTGTTTATAACATACATAGTAAACTGAGATAGCTGGTAGCGTTAGTGGTAGTGAATATCCAAATTACTGATGGGTCTGCAGCAACCTCAATTCTTGCCTCCTCAGAAGAAATAATTCAACGGAGGGGCTTAAGACAGAAAAAGAGACCGAGGCAAGTTTCAGAGCAGGAGTGGAAATTTATTAAAAAGCTTTAGAGCAGGAAAGAAAGGAAATACACTTGGAAGAGACACAAGCAGGCAACTTGAAGGACAAATGCAGCATTTGACTTTTTGACTTGGGGTTGAATATGCTGTCATATTTCCAGGGTCTTGTGTCCCTTTTCCCATATTTCCTCCCTTAGGGTGGGCTGCTTGCAGGCAGTGCCCTCCTTGTGCTTGGGAGGTGAGCATACACAGTGTGTTTAGGAAGTTGTATGCACACAAATCTGAGGCTTTCTTCCCTCCTCTAGCAGAATGCCCCTGGGATTCATACTCCACCATTTTGTCTCTAAATGCATATGTTCAAGCTCACTCACCCGGTTCCTGAGATTTTAATGTTTGGGAAATTGCCTCTCCCTGGTGCCTGCATGTTAGTGTGACAACTGTGGACCGTCAGGAAATTGCCTCTCCTTGGCCTGGTTGCAAATTATCATTTTTAGAGAGGCAGTGTGAAAGCTGCTGTACTATCATCTGATGGTCACCTGACATTCCTGGTGGGTGGTGAGGGATCCCTCTCCTGCCCCGTTTATGCCTATTTGTCTACAGTAGACATCTGGGATGTATATTTGTGTTACTGTTTAGTTTGGATCAGCTGGGCACAGTTTGCTGCATTCACCTAGTGTTTCTCACTCACAGAATCACACATAAAACAAAAACAAATTTTGCATTATGCTCAAATTGTTCCCTGATATGTCAACTGCATTGAGACAAACTTGTGCTTTTTTGCATGGTGTTTGAGTGTTACAGGAGAGCTAACTATATCAGGATAGACCACAACTTGATTCCATCTTTTAGAAACTATACCCGAGGCATAAATCAAAGGAATTAGTTTTGTGGGGATTAGGGTTTGTGAAATCAAAAATATCTGAGACAGGTCTTGATTTAGAAAGTTTATTTTGGCAAAGTTAAGGACAGGCCCATGACATAGCCTCAGGAGGTCCTGATGACATGTGCCCAAAGTGGTCTGGTGTGGCTTCCTTTGACACTTTTTAGGAAGACATAATACATCAATCAATACCTGCAAGATGTACAATGGTTTACTGCAAAGGTGAGACAACTTGAAGCAGAGGCTTCTGGGTTATAGGTAGATTTAAAAATCTTCTGATTGGCAATTGGTTGAATGAGTTATCTAAAGAGCTGGAATCAGTACAAAGGAGTGTATGGGTTATGATGGTTAGAGGCTATGGAAACTAAAGTTTTATCATACAGCCTCTAGGTAACAGCCTTCAGGGAGCATAGATTGTAGAGGAAGACGGTATAATCAGGAATGTCTGACCCCTCCTTCCCATCATGAACTAGTTTTTCAGGTTACCTTTGGAAAGCCCTTGGCTGAGAGAAAGGGCCCAATAGTTGGGGAAGGGGGCTTATGATTTTATTTTTGGTTTAAGGTTCAACAACCAAAACTCAAGTCAGAGTTCTGCTTACTTCGATAGGGCCTTCCACTATGCACAGGATGACCATTTGACCCGGTTTACACTGTGGGACAGGCCTAATCATTAATAGCTCCTCCTTTCACTATCAAAAGCTTCTCATTTGGGTAACAATTTATAATCACTTCAGCTATAATTAGCGAACCCATTATACAGTGCTTGGGGGTATGGAAACAGAGGGCTATCAAGTCCAGAGAAACAGACTGTTGAGTCAGCAGCAATGTGCACCTCCAGATTTTGGGAAACCACACCACAAGCAACTGTCTCCAATGTACACCCTTTCTGGCCCTCAATGCCAAGGCCAACTCTGCCTCTGAGATTTATCATAGTCTTTTTGTTCCTTATCAAAGAATTTCAGTTAAAAGCATTTATGAGGCCAGCTAAAATGGCTCATGCCTGTAATCCCAGCACTTTGAGAGGCTGATGCAGGCGGATCACTTGAGGTCAAGATTTTGAGACCAGCCTGGCCAACATGGAGAAACCCTGTCTCTACTAAAAATACAAAAATTAGCTGGGCACGGTGGTGCATGCATGAAATCCTAGCTACTTGGGAGGCTGAAGCAGAATTGATTGAACTCAGCAGGCAGAGGCTGCAGTGAGCTGAGATCACGCCCCCACCCTCCAGCCTGGGCTACAGAGTGAGACTGTCTCAGTAACAACAACAAAAAGCATTTACGAGTTGTTTTCTCAGATCTTTGCCCTTGACAAAAACGAAGACAAGTGCTTCAGAAATAAAAGGGCGATGTAATTTTTAAAATTCCAGTTAAAATGTTTCATGGTTTAAGATAAAAATGGCTTCTTTAGAACGTAAGTGCCAAGGCTTTGTGCAGCTTGCTATTGGATTTCAAGTTTTCTCTGGGGCATTTACAAAGAATCTGAAAAACTATTTGTTTGAAAAAGTTTAATTTCACTGAGATTGAATTTATAGAGATTTTCCATATTATTTAATACCTCTTTGCCTAAGAGGAAAAAACTAGAAAACCAAATCAACTAGTTATCCAGGTAAAAGAGATTTTCAAGATAAGAAAGACTAAAAGTGGTTAGAAATTAAATCGATACTCCACAAAAGCTTGATACTCTTGGATGACTATTTGAAAATTGCATTTCATTGAGCCTCTTCACTAATTAAAAATGTGAAATACAAGTTTAGTTTGAAATAATAGTTCTGGGCTGAGAATTACAGAAGAAAAAAATCTCAAGGTAGGGTAAATAAATTACAGCACATTATAGGCAAGTAAGAACTATACTTACAGGTTAACAAAACCAGCCACAGTCGTCATGGCTAAGCACTAACAGAGTCTAAACCCAGGGAACTCAGCTATCTGACCTTATGCCTGGCTGGGATGAACAACTGACCACCTTGGTTTAGACACCATATATAATGGAATCAGATCCAAAAAGCCAGAATAGAGGGTAGGTTCTAGTTGTTTTAGGATTCTAGAGAATAAGCAAACGTTTCCTTTTTTCCTTTTTAGATGGAGTCTCACTTTGTCACACAGGCTGAAGTGCAGTTGCAGCATCTTGGCTCACAGCAACCTCTGTCTCCTGGGTTGGAACAATTCTCCTGCCCCAGCCTCCTGAGTAGCTAGGGTTACAAGTGTGTGCCACCACACCTGGCTATTTTTTATAATTTTAGTAGAGACAGGGTTTCACCATGTTGGTCAGGCTGGTCTTGAACTCCTGACCTCAAGTGATCCACCCCCTCGGCCTCCCACAGTGCTGAGATTACAGGCTTGAGTCAGCGCAGGCTGGGTATGGTTTGTTTTAATGGAACACTGTAAACAGGAATGAGACTGTCACAACGGACCAGAAACAAGAAAATCTATCTAAATGCAGATGCAACAGGGAAACTGGAAAATATCCAGCTGCCCTACATCAGCTGTTTTCCTTCTAAAATTGAGTAAAAATATTCACATGTTCCACTACTGTATTTTTCATAATAAAATGTTTCCAGAAGTTTACTGAACCTTTTGGACAAAATGAAGTATTTCTGGTCATTGTGACTGTAGCCACAGTGGGACACGGTACACACACTGCCAAGAGTGAACAAAAAGGCAGGGTAAAAAAATACAAGCTGGTCAGAGGCGGTGGCTCACGCCTGTAATCCCAACACTTTGGGAGACCAAGATGGGAGGATCATTTGAGCTTGGGAGTTTGAGATCAGCCTGTCCAACATGGTGAGACCCCATCTTTACAAAAAATACAAAAAACCAGCCAGGCATGGTGGCGCACACCTGTAGTCCCAGCTACTTGGAAGCCTGAGGTGGGAGGAGTGCTTGAGCCTGGATCAAGGCAGTAGTGAGGCCAAGATCGCACCACTACACTCCAGCCTGGGTGACACTGTCACCACACACACATACAAATTGTAGGTGCTCTAGACGTAACTTCAGATTACTCAATGGCCTTTAGAGTATCACAAACTACTAAATTAGCTATTTCAATAAAACTCTTAATACCTTAATTGCAAATAGGTAGTGGTGGAACCCTGAATAGACTGGCCATGGTAACCAATCACAAAAAAAAATGAGGCCAAGTCTTGCACATGGACCAAATGATCACTACTTTTGATGTAGATTATACGTGGCAGCTAATGGGTAAAGAATTTCATTTAAAAAGCTCTACAAGCAGGCATTGCAGCAGTGTGGGAAAAGGTGGAAACTTAGCAAACCTCACATATGGGTTAAAGTCTTATCACTTAATAGCAGTTATGTGACCTTGGGTTCATCAGTTAACACCTGAATCTGTTATCAACTCACTAAAAATAAGAAGGTTAAGATTCTCTGACAGTTGAAAAATAAGTGTTCAGTGCACTGTAAGATACTTTAATAACTAAATGAGTAGAACTACCATTTGAACATTCAGAAACTTGTATTATTAAAAGGCTAGAAAGTGTAAGAGAAGATTTAGAATACATTCCTTGCAAAAATTAAGAATTTTTGCTTTAATAATCAGCAATAAACCCCTTGCAGAGTAATATGCACGGATGAAATATCTAGCATCAAGTACATTCAGTAGCAGATTATAAGTGCTCACCGTGCTCACCAAATAGCTACATGTTCTATACCTTCCAATCTCGTTTGCGGTGAAGCTGTAGGTGGAAGGCATGTCTCTTTCAGGTCTCGTTCTTAAAAATACTCTACACCATCTGCTAGTCTGCTCCTCTCTGATTTGGCAATGTTGGAGACCATGTGTTCCAGATGGCACAGCTAAAAATGGAGGATTGCCCAGTCCGCAATGGACATAAATTTTTGTATTAAGCCACACTGATTTAATGTTTGTTAACTGTGGCATAACCTACTTAATCATGATACTCTATATGCAAGGATTTGAGATAGGGTTGGAAATACACATGCATAAAGAATCATAACAAGGTTCCCACCCTCTTGATAAGGAGTTAAGGATTCTAACCTCAAATTTATAGCCCATTCATTCCAGTAAAGAAATATGTTTCATCAGCGTATTTCTCATCAACAAATATTCTGTGCTATTAAGCATTATACTAGGTACATGTACTTCTGAAGCTTAACATATGAATATTGAGGTGGATCTTTATCAAGGAGCTTCGTATGTCACTGACATTACAGTACTTCTAAGACCTCAGCAATCCATTATTTGTAAATGTTCAAAAACCCTCAACCAGTCATTCAATTTTATATAAACTAAATAATTTAATCAATATCCACCCATTCTAATTTACATCCAGCTTGAAAAACACTACATTTAGCAAAAGGACTAGAGTGACTGATTTCATTCTTATCTGCATGGCCTTATCTCAAATTTTTGAGAATGCTTTTTCAAGGCTGGGCACGGTGGCTCACACCTGTAATCCTAGCACTTTGGGAGGCTGAGGTGGGTGGATCACCTGAGGTCAGGAGTTCAAGAGAATGCTTTTTCTACTACATGATAATACATGTTCTTGTGGAGAGAAAATCCTATGATCCTTTGCAAGTCAACATTTTGACTGTAGAAAACAAAATCTAGCAAAACAATCATCTATTACATAGCACTTCATATAGGAAATAATGCTAAGACTTATAAATGGAATGCTAGCCATGTTACTGTTAGGAAAGGGATGTGGCCCTGGAGCAGACCCACCAGTCCATGTTTTATGAACAGACTGAATGTGTCAGTAGCATCTACCATTGTTTATTACAATGTAGCTGGTCTTCCACTTAGTTCAGATTCTCAATAGCAGGCAGTGTGCTTATCTGTCTTCATACCTCCAAGGATGGGAAAGTAGTAGTAAGCCTGTACATACAGAAGGTACTTCATAAATGCCTGTCAAAAGACTGAAAATGGACAAACACAGGGAATAGTATATTTACTAGACTTCCACAATCCATACTTACTTTAAAGCCAATCTAGAAATAAGAACATGACTTATATTAGGCAATATACTTGCAGATTTGTACAACAGCATTATCACAGCAGGGTTTTGCTAACTCACAGTGTGTTCCAGGCATACATGCTGCAAAAACATCTCTCCTGGGGTCCTAGGGGCTTTCAAATGTTCCACCAGGGGCAGGCAAGATGAGATTCATAGTGCTCAATTCATCATGCACATGAAATATGTTTTCCCACAACACCATATTATCACAAGCCTATGAACAATTCTGGTTAGCTAAGGTAGGAAATATAAAACTCTTTCCAAATAACAATATTTCAATTATGCCACAAGCTAAACAATTTGCTGTGAACTGTCCTGCATATCTAATCATTTAATACATTGCTTCTATAAGAAAATGCTATTTAAGTTAAATTTCAGTCATAATTTTTTTCTTATTACAGACTGCAGATGCAAACATTTAATAGTAAACAAAATGTTTATCTCAATTTTTCTTTGACATTTTTATGCTTTGAAAATTCAGAATGGATATATGCCATGTAAAAACAAATGAAGTATAAAATATTTCAGATTTACATTACTGATAAACAAGAAAACACTTATCAGGAGAACTTACAAATGAAGTGCACTCTATTACCATCATCTATCATGATTAAATGTGAGATCAGCACAGCTATATTATTTGTACATTGCCCACAAATACCTAGAAAGAGATGGGAAGCAAAATCCTAGGAGTTTTATGTGTGGAGTCCGGGGTTTTCAAATAAGACATCATTCCAACATTCTGAGATTACAGTGACTGGGGATCATTTTGGAATTAGAATGTTCAACAAAAGTAATGTTAAGTAAAATGTACAACTTCTGGATCTATACAGACATCGAGGGTATAATGAGTTTGGCTTTCATTCTGCTGTTTCTTTCACACTTTATATTTTAAAGTAAGTTTCAAGGAACTTTTCTTTCCAGTTTGAGAATTCAACCCACTTTAAAATGGAAACAGAAAACAAAAAACAGATGACCTCCATTGTCATGAAATATGAGATTTACTTTAAAAATCAGAATGTTTACTTCTTACAAAGTATACCATGCAAAACCCTGGGGGGAAATTCTTGACAAATGTATTCATTAACTGTATTTAAAATTTGTGCCTGCCTTTCTTTGACCATGTTACTGCCATAAAGCAAAAAAATAAACACATCCCAGCTAGATTTCTTCCTTTAGAATATGGTAGTGTCTGTGATATTTTGTACCATGTAGAGTATTTTAAATAGCAAAGAAGTGACCATGCATCAAGCTAAAGGTAGTGAGTGACTAATGCTCAAGAGCCAGCTCCTTGAGACTATAAATATGGTTACTGTATTATGAATATATCCACTAATGTCTCATAAGATCCTCTTAATGATATCCTATCAGCCCTGAAAAAATGGCTGCTGCTAGGCAACTCCAAAGAGTTACATAGTTAACGTATAGTGAATGAATAACACAAATAGGTTTTTTTTTAATCATACGAATTTAAAATAGCCACAAACAGGGTGACTGCATGTAAGTGGCTGAACTATTAGTAAAGGGGAAGGTAAATGGGCCTAAACTACAATACTTAGCAAGGACTGGATCTGTGCAGGCGTCTATGTACAGAGACAAGCAGGGTTAGGCACTTAAAGCTTTTTGATGAAAATCCTGGGGAAGAGCTGAGCCTATATTTATATTATACTATCAAAACAACAATATACTTTTCATGAAGAAACATGCAATCAGAAACATTAGAGACTGAAGAGAGCCTAGGAGTTTTCTGAAAATGAAATGGCACGTTTTTCCAGAGTATCATAATATCTCAATTATAAAATTTGATGGTTTTACATTATCATATTTCTTTAGTGGTAAATACCTCATTAAAAAAGTATTAAAAAAATTATTGACAACAAATACAAAGCCCTAGTTAGTACAGATATTACTATACTGGCACCATCTCATAAGGAAAATATCACCATATAGATATCTTAAATATCTTCTATTATCCAATATCTTAAACCAATTTCTTAAATTGTTCTATTCAACGGTACTTTTGTCTTGCCCCTATTCCTCTATCAATAGACCTTTTAAAAATTATAATATCCTACATATATAAAATAAAAATCTAATGTCATAAAAATCTCAAAAATGTAATGTTAGGAGTGTTGATTATCTAAAGACTTCATGGAATAGCTTTAAACATTTATTGCCCAGATGTATTAAAAAGAATTCTTAAATGTAATGATATCAATGGTCCTAATACATCTGTAAACAGAATATCACTAAAATATTTTTACCGGCATGAAATACTATACTTATGGAGGTGTGAAACTTTAAAATCTTAAAGTCTCTTAACATAATCATGTATATCTATGTACAAAACATACATAAATTTCACTTTATTTAAAACATATGAAAGAGGTAATTTCAAATCACACTAAACATAATAAATATAGAACTCGCTTTGTTAAAAATCTACAGTATACATTCAAGTAAAGGCTAAACTTCCAATGCCAATTATATTTGAGACAAAATTAAACATTTACAATAATCAGTTTCCTAAAAGTGCTATTTTTAATACCTATAAGAGGAAACTCATTCTAGTGCTTTTGTTTCCATCCAAACATCTATACATTCCTTTATTCACAGAACCAGATGCTTCTGTTACTAAAAATACATATCCAAAGCTTTTATATCCTTTTAAATAGATTTAACATTTCAACTCTTTGGGGGAAGACAGGGAAGTCCAAACAAACGACTTAGACCATCTTAAGTTATTAGAGATAATTGACTTTATGACACACCCTGTTTCAACTTAGATGTGAGATTTGATGAATATGTTAATGAAAAAAATTCCAGTCCACATGTCTAAGGTAAGTCATCTTTTTCTACATGAGAATTTGTGTAGGTCAAGGAGCATCCACTATAGCAACCTTCCTGTGATCCAGGTCTTGATGCCACACTCCATTTCTGATTTGTACATTCTCCTCCAACCTGATTTGGTTTAATATCTTCAGGAGTTATATTCAGTACATTGATTGAACTGTCGGAAAAGGAAAGGCAGATCTTAGTGACTCTCCTCTGCTCCTTTTATACTGTATACATGCCTGATGTCTAAGGTCTCATCACTTCCATGTCTTGTGCTAATTTACATAAATTTGGAGGACACATGATCAAAAACATTAAAGTGTTACAAAATGGTGTAATTTATCACTTTTATCCTATCTATTCATCTATTTATTTATCCCTTTAGCCTACTTTGATGCATGTTGTCCAACTGAAGCTTAAGGTAGAGAAGCTTAAGGGTTCTGAAAGCTAATATTCCAAATGTCTCCATTTTTCTGCCACTATTATTTATCTTGTAATGCTTTCTTTCTTTACATGTCTACTTGTTAAAGCATCCTTTCATCTATCCACCAAGACAGAAACTTAATGAGTGACTTCAGAAGTGGCTAAAAGACCAGACTCTCTAGTGAGATGGTTTTGGTTCAATCAGCCTCAAAACAAAATAAATCTGCTAAAATGGTAACTCTAAAATCTATGCAATTGAACCAACAATAATACATTTTTCATCAAGTGAATATGTTAGGTAATTTTCTTAAAAACTTTTCTAAAGGTACACTTCTTGTGACTTTTGTTTACTAACTCAACCATATACTGTGGCAATCTTTAAAAAATATTAAGTTCCTTTTAATTCTAAAAATCTAAACCAAAAACCTAGTTTAAAATTTTACTTTAAAAAAAAAAAAAAAAAAGGCTGGGAGCAGTAACTCACAATTGTAATCCTAGTACTTTGGGAGGCTGAGGCTGAGGCAGCCAAACAGGAATTCAGGAAGAGCCTGAAACCCTATCTCTACCAAAAATTAGCTGGGATTAATGATGCATGCCTAGTTTGATCATTTGTACAGGGATTCTGATGACTAAATTACTATAAGTCATCATAATCCCTGTACAAATGATTAAACTAAGTTTTGTAAGTAACTTATGCACAAGTCTCCTTGCCCGGAATTTAAGGCACAGCCTTTATGTAAAATTCCATTCTACAGTGAAGGAGCAATGAGGATGTTGTAGAAATTAGCTACAAATACTCCTAATTATTTTGTTGTAATATTATTATTAATATAAACCAAGATCTAAATGCTTCAGGAGCAAGAGAACCAAATTTATCAAATAATTTAAAATGTAAAGAACCATGTCAGGAATCACAGCTTCCCTATTAGTTATAAAACTCTTTTCTGTTTGCTTTATTCTTGGAGGCTAGTTAACAATGAATAGCTTGAATTCCTTTAAGCTCCAAAATTGTTTCTATACCACTGGTGTTGTTGAATGGAGCATTCAGAAACAGAAAAGCATGTTTATATTTGTTTACATATATTTTTATTTTTTATTTATTTTTTGAGACACAGTCTCCACCCGGGCTGGAGTGCAGTGGTACAATCTTGGCTCACTGCAACCTCCCCCTCCTGGGTTCAAACGATTCTCCTGACTCAGCCTCCCGAGTAGCTGGGATTACAGGTGCCCGCCACCACACCTTTTATATTTTTAGTAGAGACGGAGTTTCATCATGTTGGCCAGGCTAGTCTTGAACTCCTGACCTCGTGATCCACCTGCCTTGGCCTCCCAAAGTGCTGGGATTACAGGTGTGAGCCACCGTGCATGGCCTATATTTTTATTTTCATAGTCTGTCACTAAATGTTTATAATGTAACTAGGTACTGTTTTTCAGTGCTTCTAATATATTAACACTTCACTTGCAACTCCCTATGATTTAGGTACTAAATGCTGAACTTTATTAAACACAAAACAACGCCTTCAAGAAATACTTATGCCAAATATTTCATAACTAAAAACAATTATGTAAAAAGCTAAATATTTAAAATATATAAAAACAATTGAGACAATTACATTATGCTATCTCTTAGATATAAAATGCATTCTTTGTAAATGGTGGCAGAATTTGCATCTATATCTATATAGATAGGTCTGATTGGTCAAATCTGCAAGTCTGAATAACATTCTATGTAAGAAAATACTAGGAGCTTACACATTATCTTTTGACTGTAAAATAAATGTTCACTTCCCATATCCAACTCAACTATTGGCTCTAACTTCAAAATAAATCCCAAATCCAAGCATTTCTATCTTCACATTATGACCCTAGTCCAAATTACCATCATCTTTTGTTTCCACTCCAATAGTGCCTCCTAACTGAATTTCCTGGTTTATATTACAGACTCCTACAATCTGCTTTCGACGTTATAAAACAGTACTCTTTATAAAACTTGTTTTCGCTCTGTTGCTTAAAACTAATGTTTCTTCTGTTCCCCTTAGAACAATATTTAACCTACAAATGCACACTAAAATATTCTGTAAATAAAATCCCAGATGTGTTTGGGGTGGGGAGAGCAAGCTGAGTGGGATTACATATGAACAATACTGATCATGAGTTAGTAAATGCTGAACCTGAGTGACAGGTACACATGGGTTCATGATCTGATTCTCTCTGTATCTGTGCATATTTGAACTTTTACATTTCTCCATCCTCATCTCACACCTCTAGGTCTTGTTCACTATGCTCACCATCACAAATGCATGAAGTGTGTCCCACCTCAGGGTACCTACACTTGGCTAGAGTGCTCTTACCTAGCTCTCTTTTTCATTCCCTCTAACACTTACTTGGGGTCCTAATCCCCTCACCTCTTAAAAGTGAACATAACTTATAGGGTGTTCTCCTCCTCCTTTTAAGTTTCATTTCTTGTTTTAAACTCCATCTATTTCATAGTTCTTGGCCCAAGGGCCAGCTGGCTTATTTGACACTTAGTTCCACTCCAGTCTCTAGCACAGGCCAAGTTTGTTTCAGCTCTGACTGGCGCTTTCCAAGGCCCTTGTCTCCTATTTTTAATTAAGAGCAAAGAGATTATCACCACACTTCCCAACTTATCTCTCTAATCTTTTCTATTCTCTGTCTTACTAGGAATGCTCTACCTGCTTCCTCTGCTTCATTTAAAACTAAACTTGGAACTGGCTCTGAAGTAGAGTATTGTTGTTATCTCAGAAAATGATTTAATAACTTGAGATAGAGGAAAATATCAAAATGCAGCAATTAAGAGCAATATACGGGTTTCCTACGGTGGAGAGCCACGTATTTTTACACTGTCATCCTTGGGCACAGATCTTTATCACTCAAGATGAATAGGTTTTTTCAGTTCTTTGCCCTTCAACAACAATAAAATGGGCATGCCAGAAAAAAAAATTTAAGATATGTACTCTACAAAAACTGTCAAAACAACATCCTTCTATTTAATACAATTAAAGCACTTTAAACATTAACTCCTATAATTAAGACTGTATTCTAAGTTGTATCTTAAATGTGAAATAAAAAGACATACATACATACGATTTACCTCTAAAAAGACAACGAACAGATCTACTTGTTCACTCTCGTATTCCCAGCATCCAGCAGTGTCTATATATACTGGACCCTCAACAAATATTTGCAGAATGAATAAATCATCTATTAATTCCTCTCCAAAGTCTCTACTGTTGCTGATACTACACACACACCACCTTTCCTGCAGAGCAACTTCAGCAATTTTTAGAAATATGTGAAAAGATCACCTATAGACAAATACCTATGTTCAGACATACAGGAACGTGTCTGGCAAAAGTCTGAAGTGGAAGGTGAAGCAGGAAGAGATTTAGTAAGTTTAGACATGCAGACTGGAGACCCATTAGACATACTGTGAGGCTTCTTTTGCGGTTGCCTCGAGTGTACTGTAAGATTGTCCCAATCAGAACCTGTTTTAAAACAAGGAAGGAAAAAGGCAGTATATATGGTAAGGCATTAAATATAGTGAGGGTAAATAATCACCAGGATGATTCATCTGCAGTTCTGAGTCAGGTAAGAGATTGAACAAATTAATTTGAATATCATTAATCTTGCTATTTTTGTTGCATAGTCCACATATATTTAAAAGGATCTAGTTTTAAAAGTATTTCTAGGATGGGTGGGGTGGCTCACACCTGTAATCCCAGCACTTTGGGAAGCTGAGGTGGAATGACTGCTTAAGCCCAGGAGTTCGAGACCAGCCTGGGCAGCATAATGAGACCTCGTCTTTACAAAAAATTTTTTAAAATTATCTGGGTATGTTGGTGTGTGCCTGCAGTCTCAGCTACTCAGGAGGCTGAGGCAAGGAGGACAGCCTGAGCCCAGGACATTGAGGAGGCAGTGAGCCGAGCTGCACTCCAGCCTGGGTGACAGGGTGAGACTCTGTCTTGGAAAAAAAAAAATTTCCAGAGGTAAATTTTCCGAAACTTCACATTATTACAAACTCACAACAAAAGTTACTTTGGGCATGCACAGTCCCCCTCTCATCCCCACTTTGACTACAGTAAATAAAATATTAAAGTTGATTTTTGGGTCAGGTGTGGTGGCTCACACCTTTAATCCCAGCACTTTGGGAGTTCAAGACCAGCCTGGCCAATATGGTGAAACCCCGTCTCTACTAAAAATATAAAAATTAGCTGGGTATGGTGGTACACGCCTGTAATCCCAGCTACTCAGGAGGCTGGGGCAGGAGAATCTCTTGAACCCAAGAAGCAGAGGTTGCAGTGAGCGAAGATCACACCACTGCACTCCAGCCTGGGCAACAGAGCAAGACTCAGTCTCCCAAAAACAAAACAAAAAAGTTGATTTTTAGTTATAATTAGAGAGTTGTTATTGGCGATTCCAAAGTTTTTTATTAATAATATGCAGTATTTTGTATCAGTAATATGTAAATGATTTAATTTATATGCATGTTCAAATTAAAAAGTTTATAAAGTACTCACTTCCTGAGAAGGCACTGAAAAGTTTCACATTTTCTGAGTTCTGGTGGTCAAAGGTAGTCATATTTAAAAACTGCTGCTTTAACCAACTGGCTCTTTCTTCTTCAAATGCCTTTCTCTACCAAAATAAATTAAATAAATTATGATCAATATTTCAACATCCACACAGTTGCCATTTCACATAATTGCTCTAGCTATCTGTGTTTGCTCTCTGGCTATCTGTACATGCTTCTTATGTCAAATGAGTTAACCTAAAAAATTTTGGCTCTGGTCTGTAATCCTAGTACTTTGAGAGGCTGAGGTTGGTGAAACACTTGAGCTGAGGAGTTCAAGACCAGCCTGGGCAACATGGCAAAGCCCTGTCTCTACACAAAATACAAACATTAGCTGGGCATGGTGGCACAGGACTATAGTCGCAGCTACTTAGGAGGCTGAGGATGGAGGCTGGCTAGAGCCTGGGAAGTCAAGGCTGTAGTGAGCCGAGATAGCGCCACTGCACTCCAGCCTGGATGACACAGCAAGACCCTGTCTCAAAAAGAAACCTAAAATAATAGAAATTCATCTGTTTCACCTAATAAACCAACCATCACTGTTTTTATATCAACTTTAAGTTCAAATGAACAATGCAAAAAATTAAACAGAATATTAGCATAACTTCTGAACACAGAAAACATTATGAAGTTACAAACAAAAGAAAACAGTCTATATTGTTAATTAGTCACTTGAGAAAAGGACCTATGGCTTCATCAAGCGTTTCTCTCATCCTCTAGCCATCTATCAGTACTGGTAGCCACCATCACTAAACCACAAGAGGGCATATGCAAATTATGTCAAATCTCCCCCTTCTGAACAGCTGATGAATCCTAAATTAAATTCCCTATCATCCCTCAGGTCCTGCATGCCTCCCCTCCCATCCCTCACTATGCCCACTGTCCCCAGTGACCACACGGAGAAAAACTCTCATGCAGGGAAAGGCACCTGGCAACTGGGAGTGATATGCAAAGTAGCAAGATTATCTCTTGGAGTAATGTGGGGAATATGGGTTCAAAAATGGGTAGGAGACGATGCAGGTGCAAATGTTGTTTCCTGAAGATAGCTACTGATAAAACAGAGGAAATCCACGTCAGCTACTTAAAACAAGCAACAATCAGTCTTTCATTCATAAACATTAATATAGAACCACGCATCACCAGACATTTGAAGAAAACTAATAGTATAATACAGAAAAAAGGTCAAGATAAATAGAAAACTATGGATAACAGATAACTTGTGAGAGAAATCTTTTTAAAAAATGTAACACATATTATCAGACAGTATTAATCAACATCCGTAAAACAGCATCATGTTAGATAAAGAAAAGTAAAAATTAATGGCATTAGAAAATTTTAAAGATAAATTCTAAAACAAAAACTCCATGGCTAAAATGATTAATAAAACTGACCCTGAAAGGCCAATTTGGTGATCCCTAAGATAAAGGTAAGAGAATATCCCAGAATTGAGAACAAAAGTTGACCTGTAGATATATATTCAGAAGGCCAAACGTGTGTCTAACAAGAGTTCCAGAACACAGAGAAGTCAAAGAAGGAAAAAATGAAGAAGAAAATTTCCCTAAATTAAAGAAATGCAGAATCTTTAGGCTGAAAGGAACTCTGCAGATATACCCTGGTAAAATTTCCAAACTTTAAGAATAGAAATACTAAAGCGGCCGGGTGCAGTGGCTCACGCCTGTAATCCCAGCACTTTGGGAGGCCGAGGCGGGTGGATCATGAGGTCAAGAGATCGAGACCATCTTGGTCAACATGGTGAGACCCCGTCTCTACTAAAGATACAAAAAATTAGCTGGGCATGGTGGCGCGTGCCTGTAATCCCAGCTACTCGGGAGGCTGAGGCAGGAGAATTGCCTGAACCCAGGAGGTGGAGGTTGCAGTGAGCCGAGATTGCACCATTGCACTCCAGCCTGGGTAACAAGAGCAAAACTCCGTCCCAAAAAAAAAAAAAAAGATATGAAAAGCCTGCAAAAAGAGTTAGACGTATAAACAGGCAATTACTACAATGTGGTTAGTACAATTAAAAAAAAAAGAATAGAAATACTAAAGCTTCCAGAGAGGAGATAAAAAACAAAACACAATTTTCTACAAAGTAACACAGGTATATTATAATCAGCCTTCTCATCAGTAAAACTAAACACTAGGAGAAATGAAGTAATTCAAAATTTTGAGGGAAAAAGTTAGAATCTAAATTCTATACCCTGCCAAACCAATCAAGTATGAATATATTTTTGAATATTCTGGAATTCAGAATGCTTATCACTCATGCACTATTTATGAAAAAAATTACTCAAGAAGGTAAGACAGCAAATTGAATAGAAACCCAAGAAAGATGATAACATGAGAAATAAGAAACATGGCAGCTGAATCTGATTCAGGAAATCACAAAGGAAGCCACAGAGACAGTCAAAGAATTCACTAAATAGTGATGTATCTCTCTGGGTGGCAAAGACATAATAATAAAGAATATTTTCTATGTGTCCAAACATATTCTGTTATAGAACAATTATCTGTTATCAATTTTCTTTCCCTGTTTTCCAACTTTTAAGTTTCTAGTTTAAACAAAGTACTTATATCTGTATTGTATTAGAAGACAAACTGTAAGTGTAATAACAATGAAAAATAGTATCACACACAAAAAAATTGCAAAGTAGAGGAGCAAGAGAGGTAAAACAAGAGTAACTATAAGAATGACCTCATCTTTCACTGCAGGGATGAACTGATAATAACTGAAGTGGAACAAACATGAAATGGAAGCTTTACATTATTTCCTTAAAGCCAAAAAAAAAAAAAAAAAAAAAGGCAGCCAGAAGAACAAAAGGAACAGTATCATGAAGAAATGAGGAAGGGTGTAGGCTGGAGATACAAGGACACAGAATTTCTTATCTTTCATAGCAGGGAATCAATAAACTGATAAAGAAGACAACCCGAAATACATTAAAAGTTAAAATAGTACTTCTTAGAAGAATTACCAACAAATACTTTTCACAGTGGTTACCTCTAAGGAATGAAACTGGGGATGAGAAAGGAGGCTACTTTCTCACTTCACAGCTTTTTGTATGAGTTGAGTTTTGTTGACTTCTTTTTTTTTTAACTATGTTCAGACATGACTGCTACAATTTTTGAAGGGGGAATATGTAGAAGACACATTGCTAAGTAAAAACAGCAAGCTATAGTGTATATATAACAATGACGGATTGGGGATATAACTTTTTTTTTTTAACTATACTTCCTTTTTAAACAGCAAATATAGCCTTGGTTGTACTGTCTTCTGACACCACACCTACTGACAGTGGATGAATGATGGATACCCAAGAGATCTCTTGTATGAAACTAAACACTTAGCAGGAGAAAGCCAATCTGAAAGGAGTAATAAATGCTTACAGTGTGTTTTTTTTTTAATTCAATTCTGAAATCTGGTAAGGGGAAATGATACCATTCTATATGCTCAGCCTCCCTTTCATTTCAAATTATTTATGAGATCACCAATAAATATTTTAGAAAAAAAGTTAATAGCAAGAAACAAAAGCAGACCTTAGAAGCATTCTACTGAGACCCACCCACCCCCAGTATTTTCTTTTTTTTTTTTTTTGAGACAGAGTTTCACTCTTGTTACCCAGGCTGGAGTGCAATGGTGCGATCTCGGCTCACCGCAACCTCCGCCTCCTGGGTTCAGGCAATTCTTCTGCCTCAGCCTCCTGAGTAGCTGGGATTACAGGCACACGCCACCGTGCTCGGCTAATTTTTTGTAGTTTTAGTAGAGACGGGGTTTCACCATGTTGACCAGGATGGTCTAGATCTCTTGACCTCATGATCCATCTGCCTCGGCCTCCCAAAGTGCTGGGATTACAGGCTTGATCCACCGCGCCCGGCCCCCAGTATTTTCAAAAGCACTACAATAGTTTAAAATACCTCCAATCCCAGGCGAATTGCGGCTTCTGTAAAGCTTCGTCTTTCTCTCTCAAAATTCTTTTTCTGCTCTTTAAAAAGGGACCATTCTTCTTTGAGGCGTTCCTTTTCTTCCAACAAATAACAGTCTCGTAATAGTGAGGTGGTATCATCATCACATGCAGTAGCCAGCTGCTGCTATTAAAATTTAAAACACAGTGAGTTCCCGAGGGACCCTGCAACATTCCAACAAGTTGAAATAAAAGCAAGGGAAGGCAGGTCAAACTTTAGGGCAGGAAAAGAAATTATTAAGAATCAAAAAGTAAAATGAGAATTCTCCTTTTCCAAAAGCTACTACCCAACCAGCAACGTATGCACTACTTAAGGAATGGTACACAACGTATCTGTTAGCAGGGAACACAGACTAGAAAACTGTCAAATACCAAAGCCTTATGAAATAAAGGAATACAAATCTAGTAAGTTTCTGCACAATTCTGGCTTTTCATGGAGAACAGCTTTAAAAGATTAATTCATATTCACCTGTAAAAGCTGCTGCTGAGTTTTAATCATTTCTTTACACTGCTGAATTTCTAACTCGAGTTTTTCAGTTTCTTGTTCGTGGTCTTGTCGTGAGATTACATCTTCATCATTAAAACCTTCCAGATGTACCTTTGAAACTAACACAAAATCAGTAAGTTGACATAGGTTTTATAGTCACCATTTAGGTTATGGTGTTTTTACACATCTTTAAAACAAAAGCTCTCAGAAATTTTATCTTTCTAGAATCTTACAGGTTTTCTAAAAGGTAGTTATGTTCTTTGGCCTTTTAAAATTTCATAAGCTATAATAAAATTTATATTATTTTAACATTATAAAAAATTTTAAGTAGCAAAGCAACTACAGGAGTTCATAACAATTATACACTTGTACAATTTTAAGACTAAATAATATGCTTACAAACAGAGCTCAATTGACAACATTTAATTTGTAATCCATATTTATTCAAGATTACGTCCCAATTAAAAACAGACAAAATGGCCATATTCAAAGAGAAAAATAAAATCGTTAACTATGTTTTTGTTGACACTGCTTTAAAGATTAATGAAGTGCCAAAAATCTTGCTCTCAAATATTAAATTCAACAAATACGAAGTCCAAACATACTTGCTATTTACTAATAGACGGCACTGACTCAAAGGAACAAAATCTTGCATACATTCATTTTGGTGCTGTGGTAATAATTTTGCTGATTGCTCTTTACTATTTAACACAATAATACTGAATTCATACTTTGACAATTTAAATTATTCTTTAAATAGGCTTCATTTACTGAGCAGAAATCTTTATATTCCTGATTTAAAAGCATTCAAACTTTACCAAGTAGAAAATATTAAGAATACATTCATCAATGTAGAGCTATGTATAAGGAAGAGAATAATATCTGAAATAATACAGTTAAGAGAAAAAAACCACACTGAAGAAAAATATAGGTAATATTCAATTTTTAAAATAAAAAAAGTATCTTGCAAATCCATAAAGGAAAGTCTAGAAAAATATGCACCAAACTCTTAAGTGTTATGTGTAATGGAATAGAGACCTGGATATTCTACTTTATGTACTTCCAAATTAATATTTTGCATTGAACATCTATTATTTTGAAAATAATTTTAAGTGAATTATTAGGAACATAGTAATTTGCAAGCATCTGGAAATAAGCAAAAGGTTCCTATGTTTACATGAAAAATATTTCTTGATTTTTGAGAGTCAGTAAAAGAGACTCAGTTTTCTCTTTTTTTTGGTGGGGAACAGGTGGTCTTTGGTTACATGAATAAGATCTTTAGTGGTAATTTCTGAGATTTTGGTGCACCCATCACCTGAGTGGTGTACACTATACACAATGTGTAGTCTTTTATCCCTCACCGCCTCCACCCAACTCAGTTATCTTTATTTGATTGTATACTGCATCCAAAGCAGATGGATGTATGATGTCCTCTTTTCAAACATTCACTCGGAGACCAAAGTGTATTTTTCTCAGTGAGAATCAAACCTCCCATCTAAATGTATGCAAAATCTTGGCTGTGCTCTGTGGCCCATGCCTACAATCAGTACTGGCCAACACAGCGAAACTCCATCTCTACTAAAAACACACCAAAAAATTAGTTGGTTGTGATGTGGGTCTGTAGTCCCAACTGCTCAGGAGGCTGAGGCAAGAGAAATCACTTGAACCTGGGAAGCAGAGGTTACAGTGAGCCAAGATCATGCCGCTACACTCCGGCCTGGGTGACAGAGTGAGATTCTGTCTCAAAAAATAGAATAGAAGAGAATAGAATGAAAAAGTAAATGTATGCATAATCTTGCTTTCAAACCACCAAACTGAAGTACAGTACTTTAGTTCTGAGCTTATAATATGGCTAAGTGACTGAAAAGCCACACCTTAACAAATGCCACAACTCACTTTAAATGCATAGAAGCAGTGGTTACCTTGGTTATCAAGTTTTTCTACATGACTTTTCAGAATTCTCCACTGTTTCCTGATGCTGTTTGTAAGCTGCTCTCTCACAGTTTCACAGGAAAGGTCCCACATACTCTCTCTGCTCAGTTCCCCGGCATCTTCTTCAACATCAGAGATAACCTACAAGTGGAGCGAGATGAGGAGGAAAGACTAGTATCTTAAAATGGCTTTAGATGCTCAGGCAGTAGTCTTCAGGTTGATTACTAGAGGGAGCCACATCAAAATCATTTCTGTGCTATATCATATGCATATATGACCCGGTGTTTAACATAAATGTCTTGAGAAAAAACAGTTAATACTGATAGAAACTCCCAAAATCAGATCTCTCCAAACCTGAATTTGAATCCAAATATAGTTAATGACAAATTATGAAGCTGTCTGAGAAGGAGATATCACCACTTGTCTAATGTTTTCACATTACTTAATCCTCAACTCATTACAATGTGGAAAAACCGAGGCTTAGAGAAGCAGCATAAGAGGCAGAACTGAGATTTGACATTAGAGCAACTTGTCTAATCCTAGGCTGCTTAAAGAAATGCACTTGTGAAATAATCTCCCAAGTATTTAATAAAAGCAACTGTTAATTCTATTTTCCTCATTTACTTTTTTATACAACTGGAGATATTTTTCTTTGTAATTCTCCAAAACATGAAATCATAAAGTAGCAAACTTTACTGATGTATGATCATGCAGGATAAAGAATATGGGAAACAATACTAAAATGGATATGTCGTAATAACCCATATCTAAATAAAGTAGTTCTAATTTGTCATTAATATTCAGGAAGGTAGAGAGATATGCTTCACTAATTTAACAATCAAAATCTTGCTGGGGAAAAAACCATGACAGAAGATGAGAAGAAAGAAGGGGTGATTTGACTGTTCCCACACGGAGATCAGCAGAATGAGGGAGTGACTGAGTCTGAGGAACTCTATCAGTAGTCTGAAGTCAGCAACGGGCCAGCAGAGGTCAGGGTCTCTGAGGCAAAGCAGACAGGGGAAAGGCCCAGGTCTGGCTCATGGTAATTCTAGCCCCTGCCAATCCTCAGGAGCTACTTGCCAGTAACTCTTCCAATGAAGTACAACTTCTCTTCTGCACATTTTAAAGTCTATCACAATACTACAAATACGTTATTAGAAAAATTAATGGCTGGGCGTATTGGCTCATGCCTGTAATCCCATCACTTTGGGAGGCCAAGGCAGGCAGATCACAAGGTCAAGAGATCGACACCATCCTGGTCAACATGGTGAAACCCTGTCTCTACTAAAAATACAAAAATTAGCTGGTGGATGCCTGCAGTCCTAGCTACTCAGGAGGCTGAAGCAGGAGAATCACCTGAAATCAGGAGGCAGAAGTTGTAGTAAGCTGAGATCGCACCACTGCACTCCAGCCTGGTGACAGAGCGAGACTCCATTTATTTCAAAAAAAGAAGTAAAATAATTATCGCACATTTCTCAGATTGAATTCTGTAACCACAAAGTGAAAATTTAAAAATTCGGCCAGGCACAGTGGCTCACACCTGTAATCCCAACACTTCGTGAGGCCAAGGTGGGATGACTGTTTAAGCCCAGGAGTTCAAGACCAGCCTGGGCAACACATCAAGACCCTGCCTCTAAAAAACCAAAAAACAAAACAACAAACTCACCTAACCTGAATTTTTGGTATATGTTTTAGTTACAGGTAAGTCAGTCAAATAATAAATGAAACTGGGATGCTACCTAGGCATTCCAACATTACATCTCATTTCTCTTGCTATAATGCTTCAAAAATCTTTCCCTACAAAAATTAAAGAGAAAATGGAGCTAGAAAAATGGATCTTTTAAAAAGATATTTAAGAGATTATTGTTTGTCCACTTAAACATTTGAACTATGAAGAATTATACATGATACTACCCACTGGCTGAGTAATGGCAGTGAAGAGGGTTTAATCATCTGAGAAAGATCACCCCTGATTTACTATATACTGAAATGCTGACTGAAATCTGGTGATAAGAGGTTAAGGCTGGACCAAAAACTGAAGATGCTGCAGGAGTAACAGATACTATACTAACCTTGAAGAGTTATTAGTGAATGTTAAGAACTGACTAGAAGTGACAGAGTTTGAGAGAAAAGATTACATATAAGAGGACAAGCAGACCTCGAAGTGGAGAATGTAAAATATTCAAGTAATAATAAAAAAATGTTAAGGAGAAAAAAAGTAAGTGGTGAAATGGGCTTATCAGCTGGACTGATTTGTGATACAACAAAATAAATAATCCTCAAATATACAGGTTTAAAAAACAAGTTGTGGTGCCTTGCTGTTAACTAGTGTTTTCTATCAACACTATTTTCAGATTTTAATCACTGTCAACTTGCTGAAACCTACAATTTTAACTTATATGCAAAGCAATTAAGTAAAATAAACTTTTCACCATTATGTGATGTTTTTTCAGATCTCTGCATATATATTACTGCCTTTCTATGGAATACTTTCTCCACGTTTTATTTTTAACCTCAAAAATATTTATGTTCTAAGAAGCAGTGAAAATGTCACTTTTTCTGTGATGGACTGATTGCCATAACTGTTCTTTTCTGCACTTTGTTCTACCCTATTCCAGCACCTGACACATGTAATAATCACTTCTTCACATCTGTCTCTCCCAAAAAGAGCTTCTTGAGGGAGAAAGTCAAAATCTTTTTAGTTTTTCCCTTCCAGAGACTAAAACATAAAGGACATTCGATAAATTTATAAACTGATTATTTGGTTCCCAAAGTTAACAAAAGTTTCACTCTCTGGAAAGTAGAGTACACAATACTAAAACAATTGAAAGGTTATTTGACATAGTGGTTATGATGGTGAGCTTTGGAGTGAGACAAACTTGGACTCAAATTCTAGCACTGTCATGTGTGATACTGGGCTACTAAGTATTACACCTTAGTTTCCTTATCTCTAAAATGGGAATATTTGTAGTATCTAAATCATCAAATTATAACATTTGAAATAATCTCATGTATTACAAAGAATATTTTAAAAATGAGATAATGCTTATAAAACACTTCTTACAGTGCTTGACATGTATTAATTCCTTGGAAAATCATCTCCAGCATTTTCCAGGGTATGTCTGAAAACACAGGAACAGTCTTTTTGGTTGTCACAGTAACTGAAAGTAGCATAGCAGTGAGTGTCCTATTCAAAATACCAATAGTGTCTCCATTGAGAATTATTCATATTAGCAATCTGAAGATTATATCAGAGAGGAAAGAGTCACTTACAGTTCCTGTACTATCATCTACTCTTTCCCTGGGTTTCTTCTTTTGGGGAGAAAGAAGAGAAATCATTTCCTTTTTCATCTGCTGAAGAACCTTCTTAAGTTCAGCATTTTCCATTAGGATTTGTTTCTGACGATATTCATAATCATTCAAGAGAATTTTATACATTTCATCTTCATTCCTGAGAAGGAAACTTGTCAGTATAAAAATGTAGTATAGAAGGAAGTCTGATTACATTTGTCAATTTAAACTGGACTTTACCTGGCTTCAGTTTTACCAGTCCTCCAGGAGCCTCTTTTTCCATCAGCTCTACCAACATAATTCAAAATGTCCATAGCTACAAACGCGAACACACAAAATTAATTCTTACCATACGTGCTTAAGTGTCTAAAACTCTAATGCATTCTATATGCATAAAAGTGGTGTAAGTGAACCTGGTATATAAGTTAGGGTTTGGGCTCAAACAGCCTAATTTTTGAGTTTCTAATTCCATCACTTGTAAGCAATGATATCTTGGCACGTTATTTAACTGCTAAGCCTCTTTCTTCTTGGACACTGGGAATAACAAAAGTATCTACCAAAGAGTGAAGGCAAATGTTAAAGCACCTAACAGTAGAGGTAAACACAATATCTGGCACACAGTAAGTACTTTATCCTTATTAATTTTATTATTGAGGTTGGCTGGTAATAGCCAGCAGGCTGGCTGACTGATTTGATAAATAAAGCTTTATGGAAACACAGCCACATCCACTTGCTTACATATTGCCAATGGCTACTTTTCCCGCTACAATGGCAGATAAGCAGGTTCAACAAGTTGTAGATCCCACAAAGCTGAAAATATTTACTATATGGACCTCTAAAGAAAAAGTTTGCCATGCCCTGTTAACATCATCATCTTCATCAAAGGAGTCAAAGCTCCTGACAGCAGTAATATCTTCTGCTGCAGGTGGCCATGGAAGCATGTGGCATAAGAAGAGTGAGTTACTGTAATCTTAGAGTTAATAAAATCATTATGAAACTATCACTTATAATTGGACCAGGAAACAGCAAGACCCCTATACTGTAAGAGCTCTGTTTCCAGAACTAAATCCTTAACAAACTTCTCTATGTTACATTTCATACCTTCAGCATTTCGTCCTCCTTTTTAATCTTTTTCCCTTCATGAATGAACATGAGGTTAACTAACCTTAAAAACCAGTGATTGTCCTAACGAGTAAGATTAACTCAGGATATCTAAAGATTTCCAATCTTAACTGCATATTACTGAATCTTGATTTCTATTTTTCAATAATTTAAAAGATGAAGTATTCAGATGCCTGCAACAGCTCTGCTGTAGAATGACAGTGATGTAGTCAACACTAAACTGCTTGCTGACAGCAGGCAGTCTATGACATGACAGCCTGAAATGTACGCTCATCAACTGTTTTTCAAATCTAAGGTAAGACAGTTTAGGGGTGTCATGGTATAATATAGGTTAGAGGACTGCCTATAGTCACTTGGAAATCACTCTTCAATAAATAAATCCACACACTTCTTGTGTCTCTTATTTATATTGGGCCAGCAAAACTGTATTGTAAAGCTCTACTTTTGTGTTTCTTTACTTTTTAATCTATACTATGTGAACTTATGCACATATTTGGATGAAATGGTTTAAAGTTTTGAAAAAAAGCACTGTTTATAATAGCAAAGACTTGGAACCAACCCAGATGCCCATCAGTGATAGACTGGATAAAGAAAATGTGCACATATACACCATGGAATACTATGCAGCCATAAAAAAGGATGAGTTCATGTCCTTTGCAGGGACATAGATAAATCTGGACACCATCATTCTCAGCAAATTGACACAAGAACAGAAAACCAAACACCACATGTTCTCACTCATAAGTGGGTGTTGAACAATAAGAACACATGGACACAGGGAGGGGAACATCACACACTGGGGTCTGTTGGGGGGCAAGGGGCTAGGTGAGGGATAGCAGGAGGTGGGGGAATTGGGGAGGGATAACAATAGAAGAATACCTAATGTAGGTGACAGGGTAGGAGATAGACGCAGCAAACCACCATGGCATGTGTATACCTATGTAACAATCTGCACATATACCCCAGAACTTTTAACTTTTTAAAGTTAAAAAAAAAAAAAAAAGACTACTCTTAGGAAAAAAGCAGACACATATGCATAACTGCTATAGTCCATCCTTTTGACTAGTTGCTTCAAAAATGCACAGCTAAACTTATTTAAAGGAATTCAAACTGGCATGAACTTGGTCTGATTAACAGTTTTATGAGGTTTACTCTAAAACAATTCTTTTGTTACTCAGAAACTGATCCTGACTTTTAATATTATCATTCTTTGCTATGGAAAATTAGAATGTTCTCTGGCTTAGTTTTCCTCTGTGGATTAATCCTACACCAGTCATGTTAAAGACACATGCAACTAAATAAAGCAAAGCAAAATGACTTATTTTCCATTAATCAGTTGTCTAAATTTCTTTATATAAACAAACACCACCAAAAAGCAATTGTATAAAGCATGAAAATAAGATTTCATGAGTTACTGTATGCAACCCTTTTACAATTATTTCTAAGCATAGTATTAGCTTATTTATTCCCTTAGATCTTTGCCAGCTATTTACCTATTTTTTTATCTTTCTTGTTCATAACAAGTTGATGTAGACGTTCCTTCAGTTTATTATATTCACGCTCCTTTCTCTTCATATCATGATTATACTGAGTAGCTCGACTTGCAATGATATTTTGTAATTTTTGTACCTGAAAAAAGCATTTGCTATTATAATTCCGTTAAAACGAACAAATACAGAAGAGAAAAGTCCTAACATTTATCTCCCCATGTAGGTTTTAAAATCCTAGGATGATTCTTCCTTATTTGTAACCACTAGAAACCACTTTTAAAAATATTATATGAATCACATAAAGTTTTTTTAATTCTGAAATTTCCGGAAGTGCTTTCTAAATTATCTCCTATACCTTTTACCTTACATAAAGACTCTGATCATTTAAAAACCAGATATTCTTTTTTTTTTTTTTAATTTTTACTTTTTAAGACAGTCTTGCTCTGTCGCCCAGGGTAGAGTGCAGTGGTTCGATCTCAGCTCACTGCAACCTCTGCTTCCTGGATTCAAGCAATTCTTCTGCCTTCGCCTCCCAAGTAGCTGGGACTACCGGTGTCCACCACCATGCCTGGCTAATTTTTGTATTTTTAGTAGAGACAGGGTTTCACCATGTCAGCCAGACTGATCCTGAACTCCTGACCTGTGATCCATCTGTCCCGGCCTCCCAAAGTGCTGGGATTATAAGCATGAGCCATCACACCCAGCCTAAAACCAGATATTCTTATGGAAGTATTAAAATGATTAAAGCTTCATCTGAGATAAAGAGAATTCATCTTATCATTTTTAGTGAACGCCTTGTATTACTGACTTAAAATCACTTACACTTTTATTAATCTGTGACAAAGTGACTGAAACCTGTGGTACACGGAAGCAGGTAAACAGGCTCATTTTTCTAATTAAAAACCATTCTCAAATAAGAGTTAAGTCCAAACAGCAGACAGAATCCAGTTCAAATATTTGCTAAGTACCTACTATGTGTCAGACACTGCTGTTCAAAGTTTAGATCTATTACACCTTCTCAAGTAGCTCCTAACAGAGTATGTCCTATTCTTTTATAAAGCCATTCCCAACCCCAGCTGGAAATGAACATGATTTACTTAATCCCTACTGAAGATAAACTATATTTAATTCATTTAAGTGTAATCAGCAGATCCAAGTGAAAATTGTCTGTGAACTCAAGGAAACATGTACAAGCAACCTTACAGTTTAGTTAAAATACTAATTACCTACTAAATATACTACTAATAAACAAATATAGTAAAACAAATCTATCTAAATCACTCCAGGGCCCTTTAAGGAAATACACTCCTCAAAAGTCTTTATAATTAAAACAAAATATAAAACACTGAAACTATTATATTTTTATACTTATTTTACAGTTATATAGTTATACATATATAAATAATGGGGTCACACTGTAAAGCAATAAAAACATAATGGTTTCTTCCTACACAAATTAAAAAATAATATTTTGACATGCATTAGCACTATAAGTCCAAGTAACCACTAAAGTGGAAATTAGAATTCTGCTAAGTAACCACTAAAGCAGAAATTAGAATTATATATTGTGTCAGAAATTAGATTTTTAATAGGAAATGCTTCTGTGCCCACTTAATGAAGAAACTGCTTAACTAAATGAACAACGCCAATATTTAAGATAGTACATGCAAGAAGGGGCACCCCGGTATCACGTACAGGTATAGCAGAAAATAAAACATCCACATTTAAAGCATTCTTGTGCCTAAGAAAAAGTGACAGTGAACACGAGTCCAGGAAGGGCAGTCCAGGACACTGGCTGTTACTAGCTATGAACCAATGTATCTAAGCCAAATGGATCCACTGGGGGTGAGGGCTGTGGTGGTGAAGGTACTTAAGCTTCCAGTTAAACACTGTACATAAAGGTCCACCACACCTATTTGGGGAAAGATGAATAAATGGTTCTTTCATTTTTCAAGTAAAGTGTCTCTTATGGTCATCTCATATTACAAAGAAAACAAAAATTCACTTAAACTTCATCTGCAATAACTGACAACTCACCTCATCTTTCTCATTCTTTAGTAACTGATGCAAATTCCTGTTCTTACACTGTAACTGTCTGTCTCTCTCCTGAAGCCCAATCATTTCCCTCCTGGAGGTTTCCAGTTGTTCCTAAAACATTTATATGCAATTTTGATTAAAATTAATGAAAGATGCAGAATAACTGAATTCTTAAAAGAGCAGTAACAAGAAGTTATACAACCTAGTCTTTATTAGCCAAAATGAAATGTTAGTGGCACACAAAATGTTTATTTAAAGGAATTATTATAAAGCACACTGTAAAATTATAATACTTAAATGTACATATCAAATTTTAATTGATACCAAATTGTGTGTGTGTGTGTATATATATATATACTATACTATATATATATATATATATATATATATACACACACACACACAATAGTATATATAGATCCCTGAAAAGAGCATCACTCCATGATGCTGCCACTGAATATTTTCAAAGTTTATTTTTAATGCTTTCTAACACTTCTATACAACACTTTTGAAGATCTCCTCAGGTAAATCAATGTCATCATCTTTTGAGAGCGTACCTGGCTTTGAAAAAGAAGCAAAAGTGACTTGGAACTAAGTCTGAAGAAAAAGATGGATGACCAAGCAAAGTGGTAACACTTCAAATCACAGAAATGGGACTTCTGTGTGACACTAATTCTCACTGCAGGTGGTAAAGTCTCTGAAGGCACTTCCCAGAGAGGAATCGCAGCAAAACCAGAATTAGTATGAGACAAGATGCTCATTTTAAATACTTATCGCATTCCCTGAGGAACCATGCCGAGTTCTGATGAGGCCACCCACATGAAATATTTTAAAAATCACACTCTTATTTTTATAAAATTCAAAAGCCAATCGAGTTATGTCATAACTAACCATAAATAATAATGTGCACAATTTCTATAAGAACAGATCTCAAAAAGATACAGAAAATGTAAGAACATAACTTGGATAACTCTAAGGTCGTCAATTTTTGGCACCCTTTTTTTTAGAATAACTTGCCACTAGGCAGATCAGATGGCATGGCATAACTTACAGCACTAGGCCAGCTGAAATGTGGCATATATGTGAAATCAAAAATTCACTCAGAGTGACTATCAACACTTCACCCGAACTCAGCACCACCCCTGAACATCTGCACATACCCCTCCTTCCTTTCTTAGTGAATCACGTCGCCATCCTCAGTAACTCAAGACAGAGCAAGGCAGAGACATGAATGGGGTCTTGAATTTCCAAATTCTTATTTTTCATAAAATCCTACCTATTATACCTCCTAAGTGTTCTTCAGATCTCACTCTCACTACCCTCATTAGCACTACCATAGTATAAGTCCAAAACCTCAGCAAAGGCTTGCTAACAGGCATTCTTATCACCAGGCTTCCTGAGTCCCCTAACTCCATCCCAAATACAAATCTGCAATCCCCCTGTAATTTCTCCACCCCATGCCAGAATATTTACACATTGTCTTCCCCCTGTTTACAACTCCTCAGTGCTTCCCTGTTTTTGTACAATTCCTTTTATGTCATCTGGAGATGAGGCTCCAGCCTTACCTTATACCACTCTTCATACCCATCACATACCCATCGCAGCCCCAACAGCGACATTTGTGGTTCCTCTAAAGTACAGTGATCTCTCTTGCTGCCACACATTTCTACAAGTCATATACTCTGCCTAGAATGCCATGTCCAAACTCTAGCAAATTTCTACTTATTTTTCCAATCTCAGATCAAGTGTTACCTCTCTGTGAAGGCTTCCCTTGCCTCCTACACCAAGAACAATTAATGAAACAAATAGTTATGTTTCAATATGTCTCCTTCCCCTGGGCTGTAATCTCCTCGCTAACAAGGACTGGGGTTTCATTCGCCTCTGAAACTCAGTGCCTAGCATATAAATACTCAATAAATTTTGTTCAACAAGTTGAATGAATCATATGTTAGATCTAGCAACTTTTCCAGATAGATTGGCAACTTTCCCCACTGAATATACATTTCTGTCCATAGTTGACCCAAAATAACAAGATTCTGGCCCAGGTCAAATACCATATTAGAAGACATCCTGGAGAAACAGTCTACGCTCTCAGTAGTCCTAATAAATGGGACCACTCCTTGAAGGAAAGGCTCAATAGCCTCAGATCACCAACGTATCATTATATAATTATTTGCTAGCTACTTACAAGACAGGTGGGCAAGGGTTACAACTCTGGATCAGCCTAATCTTTAATAAGACCTTCCATAGGTCTCTCTAATCTGGATTAAAGTAGCATCCATAACTCATAACCTTTTCATAAGCCTGGGGGCACCAACTACCCCTCCAATCTATCACAGTTTCCCAGTCAGCCAAGACACATAGCTGGATCATCTATCCTTTAGGAATATAGGATGCACAAAAGTCTAAAAACATTATTAGGAGAAAACACACTTTTATCATTGTGTATGAGCCAAGAAGATAACATAACACAGCATTATCAATGACAGGCTGGTAGGGACAGGTGCTCATTAAGAGTGAAGATGTCTCTAAACCAATCCCCAAGTGTTTCTAGTATTTCCACATAGGCCAACTCTATGCCACTTCTTTATAGCACATCTCCTGCTAAGGGATTTAAAAACGTTTTATAGAGAGGTCTATTATTCTCTTACAGAGCTCAAAGATTCAAGATTCTGAATGGGTTTATTTGTTTGTTTTCTTAGATGGCGTGGGGTGGGGGTGGATGTACACAAAGAAAAATAAGGAAAAGTAAAAGGGCATGGACCAACAGATGAAAACTGTCAGAAGCTGATCATCTGACAGTATGCAAATGCAAAGGCTTTGATTTTCACAAATAACAAAACCCAATATAGAATAGTATATTTAGGAAAAAATTTGACTTGGATCCATTGATTTACGTTACATCCTTAATAATATACAACTATAAGTCCTGACCACACCATGATTTTGAATGCCTGTTCCCTTCTCCTTGAATAAACATTTTTAAAATAAAACTGAAAACATAAAAGGAAGAAAAAGAAATAAATCAAAATAGAGACCGTTATCAAATATTCTACATTTTAAAGGTAGTAGGTTCAATGGTCCTGTGAAAAATACTTCTTATTTTTTTAAGAGAAAAGTAAGTTTGCTAAAACATTTGTCTATAGTCTTTTCTGGAGACACAGGGCTTATCTAGTCTGCTTTAATTATTGACCCTTAGCTCATTTGGCATCATAGATGTCTTAATAATACTTTCCTTGGAATTAACTTGTGCAGCCTCATACAGTAAGACTTTTAAATGAAGCATATACTTTATTAACCAAGATTGGATTGGGTGAGGGAATCCTTATTTTCCTAGAACATAAATATTTCCTAATCTAACTTTTTACAGATTCAGCAAGTCACTAAACAGCTCAACAAATTAATGCCTTCAATATGCTGTAGGTATTAGGAAGCAGACGTGCAGAAATTTTAAGTTCACTTTTACTTACTTGTTTAAAAAGAAAGCCCTAAAGCTTTTTAAGAGAACCCTGAAATATTTGATAAAGTCAGTAAAAATTTATAGTATTCCATTATATAATTATGGCATTAAAACGAAGATATGCAATCTCTACCTTAAGTTTTGAGTAGCAGCTCTGTAGATGGTCCATATCACTTCCCAGCTTCAAATTCTGCGTCTCCACATTTTCCTGAGCTAGAAGGTTCTTCCGCTGAAGCACAAGCAGCTCATTCATACAATTTAAAACAGCTACTATATTTAATTCTCTCTTTGTCTCTTTACCTTTGGATTCTTCATATAATGAAGGAAAACCAAAAGTAGTCAATTCCTGGTAGGAGAAAATATTTTCTTAAAGTTGGTTACAGTTGAGGAGATATTGGTCAGAGGATACAAACTTTCAGTTAGAGAGGAAGAGTAAGTTCAATAGCTCTATTGTACCACATGGTGACCACAGCTAATAACAACTATATTTCTGAAATTGCTGAAAGAGTAGATTCTCACCACAAAAAATGATATAAGTATGTGAAGTATGCACATTAATTAACTTGAACCATTCCATAATGTATATTCTGAAACATCACGTTGTACCTGGCAAATATATACAATTTTCGTCAATTAAAAATTATAAATAAATGTTATTTTAAAAGCTTGGTTACTGGACAACATAGAAAAAAAATAAAAAAACAGAAATCTTTTCTGAGTAATATAGAAGGTTACTGGACAACATAGAAAAAAAAATCAAAAAACAGAAATCTTTTCTGAGTAATATAGAAACTATCTTGAAATAGTTATGAAAACGGTTAAGTATCCCAAAGGACAAAGAGTTAAGAGGATGGAGCTCTTTTAGCCTCTGCTATGAATCTATGACATGGAGCAAGGGTTTCTGCATCAATAAAGTGATGGATAGACTCTCAGTGGCGGAGCCCCTGGTACAATGAGGAGGCCAAGCTTCTCCAAATAAAAAAGCCTTGCATCTAGATGAGATCATCACCAAAATTATCTGAAAAAGTTTCAGGGGCACTACATAAGCAACCAACTTGTGTTTGACAAATGTTTTTCTCATAACTTTGATACATTCTATTATATAACATGAATTATGCTATTTTTTAAAGAAACATGTTACCTGATCAAGATATGAAATACTCTGTTCAATATTATCTTCTGTGCAGAAGGCACTGAAAAAACTGTGCACATTTTTTGATAAAGGTATTGAAGAACATAGCACTTGCTGTGAGTATAAACTTGATGGAGACATCTTTGTTTCTGAGGTATGTTGAGAGATAGTTTTGCTTTCTGAAACAATAAAAGTCATTTATAGAAATGATTTTAAAAAATGTGCATAAAGCTAATATAATCTCCATTACTGAAGACTTTGAATTATGTATACACGTAAACATAGATCTAATATACACATACATATTTTAAGGTATTTTCAAATTAGGACAAAACTTCCTTTTTATGAAAACTATACACTTATTTTTCCAAAAACAAACAATTAAAGTGGTATTCTCAGTAGGCATGAAAGTATTTTATAACCATTGTCTCTCCTTAGTCACGTCTTCAACATCTGCAATAATTATTTTATATTTTCATTGAAAAATTCACCATTGGAGCTTCTGCTTTAGTTTACAATTATTTAGACTTAGTTACCTGAAGACAGACCTGGATCTGTAACAGTCATCCAATCTCCCATAGCAATCTCTAGAGCCAGGATACCTGAGGAACTAGTTCAGCAGTGAAACATTTAGTCCAGCTGCTGTCACTCTTCTATGTAGGCATCTCCTTAAAAAGCAAATTACAGAATAATAGCATCTGATTTAAAATATGAAAGCCAAAATAAATTCAATGCTTAAGAATTAGCTGTACGTGCTTCAAAACAGAACATTTTGCAATATTTATTCCCATGCACAGATATAGAACATGGTATATGTGTGTGTATATAAACATAAATAATATGTAAGGATCAAGGTTAAAGGCTTCCCAAGTTCTACTGAGGTATTCATATTACTTTATATAAAAGATACATGGTACATGATTTGATTCGATATACATCTAAGGTATAGCACTGTACTAAGTAATATTTTATATTATATCCTTTAAAATAAAATACAATTACTTATGTAGATGAGAAGATGAAAAACTTCTTCTTGGCCGGCATTCCCATTTTTGTTTGTTTTTACAAACTATATTGGCAAAACTTGTAAATTACAATTTCCAGTGTTGGCAACAATGTAGAGAAATGAACACTTCCGTAGACTCTCCAGATTATAACAATTTATACTACTACCAAGAAAGGTGACAATACGTATCAAGTTTTAAAAATGAAAATATATTTTGATCCAGAAAAATCTACTTCTAAAATATCATCCTAATAAAGTGATGTGTACAAAGATTAATCTAAAATTTGTTCTTTACAAAAAAACAAGAATAACACGTATGTTTTCATAGAACAATGGGTAAGTAAACAATATATTTATGCAGTGTTTAAACATAACTGTGCACAATTAGGGTGGCAAACAACCAGAAATACAAATGAATGGTACAAAGTATTAGACACCTTTTCTGTTTCCATTTATGTTTTCACTTTTTTATAGAGACAATGGAAAAGATAAATATTTCTCCATCATAAGAAAAACAATTCAAATGGAATTATAAGTGGCAACTGGCAATTGATTTCAAGGTCAGAGGGAAGAGGAGGAAGGGTGAAGACTGCAGGCAACCTGGGGAACACGTATCAACACTCTGGACAGCTGCTTCTCAGCTACAATAAATTGTGATCAAGGGGAAAGTGGTTATATTGATCTTGATGTTTTTAATGAGATACTGAATCTCTGGATTTTTATGTAAAGTCTCCCAATTTTAAAATATTAGTAGCTAAATAATCTGAGAAGTGGTTACACTGGTATACACAAGTTCAATGCAAGTTGTACACTTAAGATCTATGCACTTGACTGTAAGTTACACCTGAAACAACAGCACTATGTAATAAGCCAAAAAAATGTGTCTTTAGGCCAGATCGGGACTGTGGATCAAGAGTTCACAATGATTGTTCTAAATATTTAAGACGGTGGTAAAATATTCACAATATAATTTTAAATGAAAATTTAGGTCAGCCACAGTGGCTCATGCCTGTAATCCGAGCACTTCAGAAGGCTGAGACGGGGGTGGGGGGGGGATATCACTTGAGATCAGGAGTTCAAGACCAGCCTGGCCAACATGGTGACATCCCTGTCTCTACTAAAAATACAAAAATTAGCCAGGCATGGTGGTGGGCGTCTATAATCTCAGCTACTCAAGAGGATGAAGCAGGAGAATCACTTGAACCCAGGAGGTGGAGGCTGCAGTGAGCCAAGATCACAGCACTGCACTCCAGCCTGGGTGACAGAGTGAAATTTCAACTCAAAAAGAAAAAGAAAGAAAGAAATTTACATTCATCCAATAAATACTAACTGAGCTCCTACTATGTGATACTACATTTTTCTAGGCACAAGGGAGGCCATGCTCTCAAGAAGTGAAGTTCTGATGGAGGTAGAAATAAACACTAAACAAGCGAGTAACAAGTTAAATTGACATAACAGAGTGATAACTAAAAAGAAAATAAAACATGGTAATATAAGAGTATTAAGGTAGGGAGCATCTGGATCAGTGAGAGAATGTCCACTGAAACGGTGACATCTGAAGTAAAACCTAAATGATATGGAGTCTGCCACAAGAAAATTGACCAGAGCAGCCCAGGTAAAGGAAACAACAGATACAAAGACCTAAGATGCATATTAATGTGTTAAGGATGAAAGCCAGAGAGGCCGGTATATTTGAAGCATAGTAAACAAGGATAGAGCATAGCAAGTTGGATTTCCTGTAAACTGCAATGAAAATCTATTGATGTGTTTGTTGTAGATAGGAAAGGAATATGTTCTCTTTTACGCTTTAAGAAAGATTACTGTGGCTACTCTGTGAGTAGACTTAAAACGCGGCAAGAAATCAGAAGGCTACTGCAATAGTTCAGGCAAGATGACCCGTGTAACAGTGGAAGCAGAAACAGGCAGATGAATTAGGGATGCTTTCTGGAGACAGAACCTTCAGGACTCAAAGATGGATTGAAATGTGGGCAAAAAAAAAAAAAAAAATCAAAGATGATTTCTAAGTCATAGAGCAGCATACAAATATACTAAGGCAGATGATGTTGTGTGTCATATTGCATGTTATGATGTTACACACATACATACACACACGAGGTAATTCAGTCTGGCAATGGTCTTTTGCCATTTTCCTACTCATGTGCTTGGTAAGGAAGGGCACCTTGAACTATTTTGTTCTTCTCACTCTCCTTAAATGGGTGTCTTTAGCAACAGGATGAGAAAGATAAAGGCTGAGTCTGTACCAACTAAGAATGAGTCTGACTTTACTTTTGTCTTTCTGAGATAATCACTGTAAGTAAAACAGAATCCAAGGGACAATAAACCCTTCTATTTTAATACAACTCTGCTTTGGGTAAATTTCTTAACCTCTCTGAGCCATAGTTTCTTCACAGGTAAATTACTGTAACAATGAAATATCTCAAGAGAAAAGGTGTAAAGTACTTATCCTAAGAGATAAGTCATATTTAGCACACTGCTTGACATATGACACACATAGGCTAATATTAATTATCATTATCATCATCATCATCATCATCATCTAGACACAGGGCTATTTGGTATAAATGACAGCCTTATAAAACCTGTAACAAAATGCATGGCTGCTCATAATAAAGGTTGAACACATATTCTTAGATGATCTAGAGACAATTATCTTTATAAACACAGGGTAGGCAATGAGCTAATTTCTGTAATAAACTGGTTGGGGGAAGAAACAAGATCAGAAGAAAACAGAAACAAGATCAGAAGAAAACTGGTTGGGGGAAGAAACAAGATCCGAAGAAAACAGTAAAACCTTTCCAATTTCTTTTTGTTCTGTTAAGGTATTTGTAAATAAGACAACAGTGCCTTAATTGTCTTTTCTCCTCATATAGAAAGAACACCAAAATGTGTCTATTATACATCCATTCTTTAAAACTGCAAATTAAGTCGGTTATTCTCTGTGAATTTAGCTCTCCTGTGTCTATAGGTTAGACAGTGAATTGTTCCCCATCCTATTGATATAAACAAACATAATAAAATGTTTACAATGAAAAACAAAACCCATTTTGAAGTCCTATGAAGTGAAAAACTTATTAACAGTATATGATTTCACACAATCTAAAAGTTTCCATGAATCTTCTTCTGTTCAATGATGTACCAATTACATGCTAGGAAACTTGTGATAAAAGAAAAGTTATGCAGTTTTTCCAAGAAAGGGGACTTACAACTCTTTATCAATACATACCCTAAAACTAAGAAGTAAATTTAAGCAAATTATTGTATTCTAGCTCAATCAAAGCTAAAACTACATTGCTGAAGGTTGCAAAGTATTTTTATGAAGATGGTAAACTAAGTCAATGTCAATTTCAAAAGCAAAAGAAAAAGGTAACAGAAGCGTATCTGTTTTGCATAAATATAATACCATCATAAGCCCACTTCAACTTGAAAGTGTCAAATGCAACCAAGAAGGACTCTATTACAAAGTCAGTGCAGAAACACGGGTTCATATTATAAATGAATCAAATACTAGTAAGCTATTTTATAGTGGACATGATTACTCCTCAAAAGTGGATTAAGAACTTAGTTATTCAGGCCGGGCGCAGTGGCTCATACCTATAATCCCAGTACTTTGGGAGGCCAAACTGGGTGGATCACTTGAGGTCAGGATTTTGAGACCAGCCTGGTAAATATGGTGAAAACCCGTTATCTACTAAAAATGCAAACATTAGCTGGGTTTAGTGGTGGGTGCCTGTAGTCCTAGCTACTTGAACTTGGGAGGTTGGAGTTGTAGTGAGCTGGGATCGCACTACTGCACTCCAGTCTGGGCAACAGAGTGAGACTGTTTTCAAAAAAAAGAACTTAGTTATTCTAATACTGTTACCATAGTTACATTAGAAGAAAATGATAAGTAGTGATTCACGTTTTAGTTCAAGTAATTTGTAATCTAACAAATATTCTCCCTTTATGAATATTACTGGTTAGGGTTTATGAAAGGAAAATAACACCTTGGGACCCCAAAATCACTAAGCCAGAGGGAAAAGTCAAGCTGGGAACTGCATGAGGCAAACATGCCTCCCATTTTATTCCTAAATAAAATAACTACAAAGATAAAAAAGCTACATTTGTCCAAATTTCCTTATGGGCCTCAATATGTTTGCCCTAAAACAGTTCTGTTAGATTTCACTCTTGCAGTTTAAATTGATAGCTTATCTCCCCAGGTGTGTGACAAAGGACAGAGCTCAAAGTCATCCCTCTGCTTACCTGAGACAAATACACATCTGCTTCCTATGGCCTATTATTTACGTAAAAATGCAGATTCGAAGAACCAGACTAAGGCATAAGTGACTATTCCTCTATCTTCCTCTCACATGTAAATTGCATAGTCAGTGAAAGGCTGATCAAAGACCAAAGAATGTAACCTTTCATCTCATCTACCTGTGTCCTAGAAGCCCCCACCCTGCTTTCCCTTCCACTTCAAATTGTCCCATCTTTTCAGACTGAACATGAATGTACATCTTACACCTACTGACTGATGTCTCATGTCTCCCTAAAATACATAAAACCAAGCTGTGTCCCAACCACCTTGGACACATGTTGTCAGGACCTCCTGAGGCTGTGTCACAGATGTCTCCTTAACCTTGGCAAAATAAACTAAATTGAGAC